AATAGTGGCGTACCGTGGGTGTCAGCCGCCCGGGGCAGAGGAAAATTTTGGCCCCCCTTATTTAGGTATTGCAATTTAAAAGACCAAAATTCAGTTTTGTCACAGAACAAGCAATGAAAAATTCAGTGGTAGTACAGCGATCTGTTTAAAATAGTTCTATTGGATATTAGTGGTGTATATGGATGCAAATGAATCATACAAGCAAAAAAAAAAGGTCAATAGGTTTCGCAGGATTTCCTCGGATAAGAAAATTACTAGTTCACCCGGACGGCGAGCCGATTCCCGGACTGTCTGGACGATAGCAGAGTTTAGGATGTTTCAAATTTTTACAAGATGTTGTTATTATTTATTGTGAAATTTTGCCGCCCCTAAAAAATGCTGCCCAGGGCGGGCTGCCCCTGCCACCCACACTACGGTACGCCACTGGAAACAAAACACTTTTTTTTGGCGGGGAATTAATTTTATTTTTAAAAAACAAACGTTTTCAGCTCAATTAATAGGCCATCTTCAGGTCGAAAACAAAAATGGAACGTAAATGTTCCATGAGTCGGTGACGGGGCGAAGGAGATTGATAGGGATTGCAGGTGGCCCAGACCCTGGGTTACAGAAAAAGTGTAATTGTAGAAATGCTTAAGAAGTATGAAAGTGGCATAGTAAAAAGAACCTTAAGTAATGTTCCTACTAGGCTCATGAAATTTACTTATAATAGTAGTATGAATAGTGTTATGAAAGAAATTGCTAGTCGAAAGGAATCAAGAATGGTTTTAAGAAGAGCCCCTAATTTGTATAAGATCTTGAGAAATGATAAGGGTAGTATCAAAGCAGAGGAGAAAGAAGAGGTGTATAAGATTCCTTATGAGAACTTACAACTGGATGTTAAAAAAGATTATATCGGTGTCACCACAAGTTTCTTGTGGTGACACCACAAGTTTCTTGTGGTGACACCGATATAATCTCCGATATAATTGGGGAGTAAGGCACCGATATAATCTCCGATATAATTGGGGAGTAAGGCACCGATATAATTGGGAGTAAGGCACCGATATAATTGGGAGTAAGGCTCAAAGAACATAGATATGCCATAAGAAAAGTGTCTAATTCAACGATTTTGTCCCAAATGGTGCAAGCCCAAGGCTCTCAGGTAAAATGGGATGAGGCAACAATCATCGAACCTCTGTCTTCCCCAACTTTAGCAATGACGGCAGAGAAGATTGAAATATACAGAAGTAGGACAGGAGGAGGCTGTTTAAATGTGAGGGATGCCGAGAGCCTACCTTCGGCATGGAAGTACTTGGTTAAGAAATTTACTAGAAACTTGGACCAGAATTAGTACATTGGAGATTTATGTTAGTTTTGTTTTATTATTTGTTTTATTTTAATTTTTATATATTCTTCCGTTATTTTTCTCTTGTAAAAAATTTTTTATTTAAAATTTTTATGTTCTATTCATGGAACATTTACGTTCCATTTCGTTTTAGACTTGAAGATGGCCTATTAATTGGGCTGAAAATGTTTGTTTTTTACAATTATATTTATTTCTCGGCAAAAAAAGGTGTTTTGTTTCTCTTTATAGTACAATAAGTTTTTTATTATACTAAGCATGGCATTCACTTCCTAAGCACAACTATGCCCAGGCTCTTAAAATTTCTTTTTGTTTTGATTTAGGTTGTATCCACCATTTCTAAAAAATTTCATAATGGACTGATGATATCAAAGCTGGCGTGTATGGATCCAATTATAATATGATATTCTCCAGGTACAGACTGCTGGACACAATTTTCAGTAAAATTTGCACTAGTATGTTCACTATGTTGTTCCCATTTCTGCCTTGTATTGCTTAAGTGGCATGTAGCAATGCTCTTTTTTTCTGACCAACATCAAACACCATCAAGTTGTATATTGAAAATTTTATTTTAAAATAAAATACAGACGTTTCAGACTGAAGAGATGATAAAACTTTTTGTACATCAAAACAAATTAATGCTGTTTTAGCATTGACTACCTTCTTTCAGCATTGTTTCTTCCCAAGCCAAAGTTTTTTCCTTGCTATTGTGGTAGTTCTGAGTGAGAAGTACACGATCCCGCAAGCGAAATGGTACAAAAACAAGAGTCTCAACACAAAGTATTATTTTTCTCACTGAACAGGTTCGTTTATTGGATCCCAACTTTACAATTTTCCGAATTTTATACGTACACAGGCGCTCAATGGTACACCTCGAAAACAGTTATCTGTTACCCACAAGACAAAATATGACAAGGACCAAAATTACTTAAACTAACTTACGCTAACTTACACTAACTTATAACTAAAGATGAAAGAATATAGGATATAGAGATAGACAAGAAAAGAAATAGAAATACCCGGGTTTGGATTTTGATGAGCCCTTGGTTGGAGAACACTTCGGACTAAGAGGCCTTCCCTCGATGATCTCTCTCTCTCTCTCTCTGCACTTTTTATTATTAGGTCACTTCTTATTTGTAGACCTTTTGTCTACAGTCTTTGTCTTTCGGATTGAGTTATCTTTGATTACCTCTCACTTGTAGACTTTTCGTCTACAGTCCTTCCTTTTTTTTTCTCTCTGGATCGCTTCGTCTCAGATCACTTCACTCGTAGGAGCACCTCTCTGTTCCCTCCTACCTACTCGAGATCTCCACTCGATCTGATACTCTTTCTCTCCGTGTTGCTTCCGGGCCTCACTCCCTTTTCCTTTTTGCTTTATTTCTACGAAGAGGGTAATCCTCCCCCAAGGGCAAAAGGGGTTCAGACAAAGAAAGTTATAGGAAGGTTTAGAGAAAAGAAAGTTCTAGACGGTTTTAGACAAAGAGAAAAGAAACTCTAATACTAATACAACATAAAATATAGGAAATATAACATATCATGGCTGACGGCCACACTATGCCTTAAAACCTTTCTAGATTGCTCTCCAAAATGTCTTTGCCTTTTTTCTCTTGTGTTTCTTTTTTACACACTTCACACTGGTTTTTCATTGATACATGGAAGCTGAGATTAAATTCAGTACAGTCGACCCCCCTATAAGATCATTGATTTTTCCGTTTTATCTGAATTACATGTTGTACGAGTCACTTAGATTTTACAAATATGTGAGCCGTTCGCAGCCCGGCACACGTATTTGTAAAATCTAAGTAACTCGTACAACATGTAATTCAGATAAAACGGAAAAATCAATGATCTTATAGGGGGGTCGACTGTATTAAAAATGGTTTCATTCAGCCATTTTTTTCTGGAACAAGGTCATCAGCAACACACATCTTTGTACAGTGGTCTGTCTACAATAATGAGAAGGAACTTTCAAAATGCTATCTATACGCTTTCAAATTCTTTCTCATATTCCTCACTAATTTTGCATTGGATTTCTTTTCCATGTCTATCGTCTGCAGGCAATTCAGTTAATTCTCATTTTCTTTTTTGAATGAAAGTAATTAATTCTGTTAACTAATTGCCAGCGTGGCCAGCTAAAATTCCTTGCAGATATGTATTTTATTGTTGCTGATCACAAAAATAGTAAGATTAAGAATATGTCCTAGGTCTCTCAGAATCAATATTCTCTGGTAGAGTCCTCTGTTTTACATGTCTTTCTACAGTCTTGTGTTAGAAATTAATTTTTTCACTGTCAGAAAGTTTCCAAAATTCCTAGATTATAATCTTCAACTGTTCTGACAATATCTTCTCCCTACATACATAGCAACAGTTCTGAAGACAATCCTTACAATATTTTTGTTCTTGCACAGGAATGAAAATGCCATGAGAATTGATGTATTCTTCTCTATGTTGATGCTTTAGTTTCAATCACAGACACCTTTCATAATTTTTTCTAAACATTTTATTTTCTGTCTTGTAATTCTGGAAAAAGCATAAAAATGAACCTTGGGATACTGCACCATTTAAGGAGCACACTTGTATTGTTGACAACATCCATATCAGTTGTAGGTGGATCAGCATCAGTACATAGTGATAGTATGATCTCTGTATAAAAATATACTATAATATAACAGTTTACACTAACAAAGCATAGATTTTTTATGCACACCTGTTCACTCTGCTTTCATCATCTGAATAAACAGCATCAAATTCTTTTCTACCTGACTGATTTTTACATTCACCATCCCCATTATCAAAAAGCTTACTCATTTTTTAACTCTGAATGATAACACTTGTAAACTATAAACTTGCAATGATACAATTTCAAACAATATGCCACAGAAATGCACTCATGAATAAAAGGAGATATCTCATTGGTCAGCGGAGATTGAATAATTGATTCTGTTCCAAATCAAAGTGTTCTGAGTTAGAATAAAATAAAATAACATTATTTTCCCACAAAGGTAATATAAATAAAGATATTCTTATTTCAATTATTCAGAAATGTATAGTTGTAGCATAACAATATAATGATGTAAAAAAACATGAATTTTGCATGAAGTGGAGTTAGAAACTTTGGATCTGGGGAAGCAATTTAATAATTAATTCAGTTATTTATATGACAGTGTGGATAGTTGCTAGACAAATTTTGTTATGCAAAATAAATTAATTATAAAATCCAAAAAAAAATTTATTAGCAAAATTTTAATAAAAAAATTTTTTTTAATTATTTTTGTTATGAATAGTATCAACAGTTTTGGAAAACTGCTTCAAAAAATGTGATATAATTTCATCAAATTTTTTCAATGTTTAAAAAATTAAGATTTGTATTTTTATTTCTTATGATTAGAAAACTAACTTTAAATTACTATATTATGATGGAAAGAATAATGATTTTCTTTACCAGAATTCTTATTACAATGAAAAATAAATAGAAAAATATATAAAATATTTCTTAAACAAATTAGACAATATTATTGATAAATTAACATAATTAAAAAAAGTTAGTTCCATTATGGAATAATCAGTAAATCTAAAATTCTCAAAAGATATTTAATGTATTTATAAGAATGAAAAACAAATTTAGAATCAATTTTTTCAAAACATTTATATTACATACCATTTGAAGAATGGTAAAATCTGGATCAGTTATCACAACATCTTTCATTTTACTCAAAGTGTCTTTAGCATTATTAAGAACTTTTCTAGTTGCCACAACTGTTTTAACTGCTATTACAGCTTCTGAATGCTGCTGATGAATAATAGCCATCTCTTTCAGAATCTGTTAAATTAAATAAATATTATTATGATATAAAATATGATAGTATCAACTGTAACAATTTAAATTAGTTTTAACTTTTTCATTAATTTAAAAGTAATTCAACTGTGCCTAAATTGGAAAATAATTTGAACTCAACCTATATTTAAACTTTAAAAAACATGATTAATGTACTTAAATATCCTAATAAAAATATCAATTGATGTCATTTGAAATAAGGCAGATTTCATTAATTTACACTGAAACTATCCCAATTGAGTTAATTCAAATGTTATAAATGTTNGAGTCAATTATTTATCGTTCGGCTACAACTTCAAATGATAGCAATTGATGTTTCTGCTAGAATAAACATATGCCAAATCAAGAACTGAATAAATAAATAAATTCAGGGACAAAAACAAAATATGCTAATAAATTACAAAATATAAATTAAAACAAAATTAAGAGACATAGCTCATTAAATCATGAAAAACATCTTAATCCTAGCTACTTCCTGTAAGGTATATACCATCATGGATTACATGCCATCATTTTATACGGTGAAACCTTGTTATTCCAAAACTCAAGGAACCAAACAAAAACATAACTTCAAATTATCTGAACTTCTTTCAAATCAAAGTTATTGTAATTCTTGAATAAAATTATAATATTTTCTTATATAATTTCATTGGTTCATTTACAAATGCATTAATATTATGAGTTATTACTTAATAATTTAAGCTATTTTTAAAAAAAACTGTCATTTAGCATGTACTTAATGAAAACAATAAAATTACATTCAAAGCAAGACCTGAAAATAACATATGAATGAAGTTTAAATGCTTCAATAAGAATTACCCATGAATTTTGTATAGAGGACCAGTGACTAGTTCTATGAAGAATTCATGATTTTCAGAACTCATTATGAAAACAGGCTCTATTAATGGCTAAATCTATAAGTATGCATTCTATCATGAATATGCATGTGTATTTAATAGTCTTTGGAATTATTGAAAAAATAGATTTTTGCAAAAAATGTCCAAAATAATTAAATGCCAAATAGATTTCATCCATAAAAAAAAAATTAAAAAATTTTTCATTGGCAGTGTATACAATATCCATATGACCATGAGCAGATTCCAATAAATCAACATTGTATACAGTAGTTGGTAAAACTGAAATTGCTCCTTGAGCATGGAAACTTTCTTATAAACACATAAAATGATGGAAGATTTTGAATTAAACAATATTTTTGCAGGTCACCAGATCATATAATGACTTCAAATTTCATTATACACATATTTTGAATTATCTGAACTAAAATATATGCCAAATCCTATTCTATTGGCTGGGGACTATAATTCACTTCAAATTACATGATACTTTGAATTATTATACAATATCAAAATAACAAGGTTTTACTGTAGAAAATGAACAAATTTTTATTCATTTTAATAACAATTTCATAAGTTTATCTAAAACTAGAGATATATATATACACTAAGTGTCAAAATCCTCCCAAAGAATGCAGGAGACTATTTTAAAGACATTTTAAAATAAAATTTATCATTTATCTCTGTTAAGAACAGAAATTTAGTGGGTTAAAGAACTGGAAAATGTTGCACATTTAGTATGAAAAACTTTATATATATTTGCATACTTATATGTTATTTTCCCACAAATATGATATAAATTTTTGTCTGCATCAAAATAATATAATCACATTGTTCAGATAATTATACTATAATCTGAACAGTGTAATTACATTATTAATAGTAATAACATACAAAGAACATATGCAATGGGAAGATTTTGATACAGACAAAAATTTATATCATATTTGTGGGAAAATTACACTTCCCAATAATCAGTATAATCCTTTGGCCTTTAAAACCTTCCTAATGCAATCAGGCATAAAATTAATAATATTCCTGCAATCGTGCAATGTTATTTTGTTCCACTCATCCTGTACACATTCCCATAATTGGTGGATGCTTTCAGGCAGAGCTGTATAGTAAGACAAGTGATGTTTTGGATCATTATCTTGTTGATAAATGAAAGAGCTCCTATCAATGTGGTAATAATCAACATTAACAAAAAATTGTCAAGTATCTCAGTGTAAATAATGATATCCATTTTATCAGATATAGAACATAGCATTCCAGGCCCAAAACAGGTAATACAACTCCAGAGCATAAGACTACCACCACAAATTTCAATGTCGCTCAGTTACAGACATCATCAATGTAGCCCATACTCATTTTCACTCAGCTGAACTAACTGTATTAATTTTGGATTCATCTGGCCATACAATCCTCTTCCAATCTTCTAAGATCCAGTCTTTATAGCATTTGGCAAAATTAGGACATTTCTGTTTATGTAATTTGGTAAATTTAGGCTTCTTGGACTTTCAAATTGTTACATTTTAGGCATCTGTAGATAGTTGAAGCATTCACTTCTATTCCTAAGCCATGTTTCAATTTCCTCCTTACTTGTGATTATGTATTCAACATCCACCTGTTATCAAACATTTCTGTTTTGGTGCTTAACACTTTCTTCCTGCCAGGTCTTAAATTTTTATGTGATAGCTCCCTATTTTTTTTATTCTGGTTACAATCAAATGCCCAACATCAACTTCTAATCTTTTTCTCAGTAGGTCCACAATATGGAGTTTATTCTCACTGGAAAGTTTCTTCATGATGATGCATATCACGCATCAGCTCACTTGCATATTTATACACTAATATCTTATTAATATGCAGACAATTACATTGTTTAACGTTGATGTTATAACAAATTAATTTATGCATCAAAATCCTCCCAATGCAACAAGCAGAATTTATACACCATAGATATTTTATAAATATGAATATTACTTTAAGTTTTTACTATTATGTGAATATTATAATAATCTTATAGCTGATTTATTTCTTTTTCATTTTACATTCACATATCAAATAGTTTTTACCATAGTATGTATGAACATTGGGAGGATTTTGATGCTTACTGTATATTCAAAATGTTAATATATACTAATTTAATATTAGTTTTCTAATTTTTTTGAAATAATATAATTAAATAAATGAAAAATAGTTATTTACCTTGTCTTTATTTATATTACATTTATTTTTTATTTTATTACAAATTTTTTCATCTACTGCAATATGAACTAAATTTTGTTTTACAATTTCCTGGCCCCAAAAGAAACCTTGAGCTATATCAAAATTTATGTACCAATAGGAATTAATTCTGTCTTGATAATAGTTCAGTAAAGTTAACTAAATAAAATAAAAATATAAATTAAAAGTATTATTTTATCATCACTTTTATTACATCATTATGTATTAGTCACTATTAATTACTGAAAATTTTTCAATAAATATAGGATTAGTAATAAATTATTGAGTGCATTAGAGGAAGGAATAAAAAAGAATACACAAACATAGTGATCTCTCTTTTGTTTCAGATGACATAATAACTATAAGAATTTGTGAAGACCTTGACTGAATGTGACATGTGGCGAGTTAGGGAACCTACTTTGCCAAATCTACAGTGACTAATGTTACATACCTCAACATGTTGCAGAGTTATGCAATACCATAAACTGAACACCAATAACCAAGCATTTACTTCCATCAAGATGGGAACTTCCACAATGGGATTTAATTTACTTGTAAGCATCTTGCCTCTAATAAATTAAATTAAATAATTATCTCAAATAACCAATTGGTGGAGATATATGAGGCTTATCAAACTCTAATAGAGCAAAGGAAATTGAGATCATATCAAAAAAAGAGACTAATTTTAATTATGGGATGCATTTCATCTTCACTAGACCCTCTTTGGCCACAGTGATATAAATACAGACACCTACAATTGAAAAAAAACTTGTATTTAACGTTTAGCTTTAACTTAATATATATTAAAAAATTTGCAAAGGGAAAAAACAAACTTATAATATTTAACTTAATATTTAAAGGTTATATTGGTATATACTGCAAACTGTTCATAATCCATCTGATCACAATTTCTCCTATTAATCTATATACAGTTCAAATAGCCAATTCCTCATGTGATACTGTGTTAAATGGGTCAGTAGTATTGGTTAACAGCAATTCCCTTTAGTGAGAATTGGTAGTCAGGATTCACTGACTTTCCTTCCAAAATTGTCATTATTTCTATAATTTTCCTTAGTCTTCTGGCTGAAGTTTTGCATTATACTTTTTCAAAATTTTTTTATTTTTATTATTTATTATTATATATTAGGTTTTATATATGATATTTAATATATACTTTAATCAATGAATAAAATACAGGTTTTAAATTAGTAATGTATTTTAAATGCATTGGAATATCTAATAATATATTATGTCTGAACTTTTTTTAGCCTTATGCAAATGCTTTTTATTAGATAGAATGAGCATTTCTATGGCAACCATATTTCAATTCAAATCTTTTCCTAAAACAATCTGTTAATTGTGCCATTTTACTTTTTGTTATCAACTTTCAGTAAAATTGTTAATTTGTTTTGCAGAAACTTAATGATGAGCAAAAATAATTATATCTCTTATTATTTGATAAATCTTAACACAGTACATTGCATTTTGCTCTGTACTTTTCTTACTTGTTAGTTTCAACCTGACTTGTTGGATTAGAAAAAAAAACTGATTTTCTTGATTGCAAGTGAATCAAAATGCAAAAATTATTACTATATCTTGTACACAGAACTAATGAATTTATTCTTTAATGATATTCATAGAGGAATTATCCATCACAAGTCAAATACCAATTTTGCCAGATGGTTCAAGCCAAATTCAAAGATTGGCAAGATTGGATAATTTTACTGCAACAAACTAATATTTTTCTGCAACAAAGTGAACTTCATAGCAAATTATTAAGTAGTGACATTTTCTTCACAAAAAATATGAAAAAAAAATTTTATAGTTTGATAAAGCTTGCATAATTTTAAGTAAAAATCAATTTTTTTTTATTTTTTCTTCCATCATTTTTGACAGATTACAGCTTGTAATAAATATAATTAAAAACAACTCTCATAATTAAAATTATCCTGGATTTTCTTGGAACTTGAAAAGAAAAATGACTTAAATCCTGGGAATTGAAAAATAATCAAGGCTCAAAAACACCTATATAAAACTAATTGTTATTTTGTGCATCAGTGGAAAGAAGAAAATAATATTAAATACAAGTTTATATTTTTATCCTGCGAAATGCAGGATAAAAATATAAACTTTATTTGTATTGTTGTTTATGTTAAATTTTCTGCATGAATCCATTGATTTCAGTTTGTATTGTACATCTCCTATAGTTATGAAAATTATATGTGATAGTATTTTATCTAACCAAAATTGGTAATATGAACTGATTTAAAGATGAGATGATATATAAAGTTCAAAAACAAAAAATAAAAATAATTCTTAATGTAAACAAATTTTTTAGTTAATATTATGAAAATGTTAATAATGAAGATAGAATATGTACATATTAAGAAATATTTATTATTAGTTTTAATACAGAAACTACTCTACTCTCAGCACCGGGGTGAAATCTACAATACACTATCCAGAATCTGTAACCGGTGCATGATGTGTATATATTGTATATCGCTGTTGATAAATGTTTTCAAGCAATCTCTTTGCTCTTCTTCAGGTCGACTAGAATTCTTTGGACGGAGTGTATTCTATTTGTTGGGATCGGATGTCAATTCTAACAGAGTGGGTCCTTTCTGACATGCACAGTCGTGTGGTGGGGGAGAAAGTGTCGGGTTGGCATCCAACAGTGATTGCCAGGCCAGAGACAGAGTCAGCTCTTCCTTCTGGTTAACGCATGTGGTTAGCAGGCCGGCATTGTAGATAGCCATGGCCTCTAGCCACCTGAGATGCTCTTGGTTGGGTGTGTTGATGATAACAGTAGCTTTTTCGAATCGCACTTTGACTTTGGGATCCAATGCATATGTAGTCAGGGCTGTGGTGAGTCTCCCATGTTGAAATGCAATTCCGGATAGTGTATTGTAGATTCTTTTTAATATTACAACATTATAATAATTTCATTTTTATTTAAAACTTGCTTACCTGTAATGAAGTTAATAACTGCAATAGACATAAAAGTCGTCCAGATTGAATATATAGATATGGAAGAAAATTTAACTTCATAGAATAATTTAGATATAAAATTTTCCAAAATAATATCACAAATTGAACAACTGTTATGATAACATATATAAAATCAAATTTATTCCAAAACTTATTCCAGAATGTTTTAAATCCATGAGCTAATATCTGAAATTCAACAAAGCAATTCAAAATTTCATAACTGAAACTTATTAATCTAAAATAAATATGATAATATCATTACAAATATTAGAAATTAGTTGTTTTTAAAAACAAGCCTTTAATTTCTATTAAAAAAAATTAATTTCCTTTAATATTTATGTCAAGTTTAAGATATCATATGAGATTTTTATAAAAATTTTGAAAAATATGAATAATTCCATTTTCTTGTAGCTGAAGAACAATTCATTATAATCTTATAATTTCAAAATTTATAAGTAATATATTCTAAAAAACAGTATTTCACAGTTCAAATTATAAAGTAAATGATCATAAATCATATTTTTGAATGTTTAACTATATTCTGATGCTTTGTTCATTAAGACATCCAATAAAAACACTATATATCAAAATCATTTGTAATAGTTAGATATTCCTTTATGATTATATTATTGTTGCAATTTAGAATCAGAAAACTTTAATAATTTATGTGCTAAGTTGAAACTATTCTTTATCAATTTCAATTGCATTTTTAAGTTTCATTTTAAAACATCACAAATTATTATTTAGAATATTTGTAAAAAAAACTGATTACATTAATTTTTTCTAAGACTAAAAAATATTTTATATAAATTGATAAATTTTCTTACCTTAAAACACACTTCCCAAACAAAGATATTAGCTAATATCATGTATAAGAAAAAAGTTACATAAGGTGACAAAAGTTTCATTTTAGTAGAAACTGTTATAACAAGTAAACACAAATTCCCAATTATACAAAAGAATGACATCATTTTGAAATATTGAGAAGAAGTAATTTTTGTAGCAAATTCTTGAATGAAAACATTGTATTTAGATTTTGAATAAAATGAATCATGAAATTTAAGATATCCAATTTTGTTTTTATTTTCCGAGTTTCTTTTACGAAGTAGCTTTCTGAACAGCACATTGAAAAAAACAACCTGTAAATGAAATTTAAAAAAAATTATTAGTAGGCTCTATACATTTGTATGAATATATTAAAAAAACAATGTAAACCAAAGAAACTTAATAAATTATTAATTTTTTTATGTTGACACAAAAGTCTGAAATTGAAAATAGAATATACACTTATTTATATCATATATATTAGAATGTATTAAAAATATATGTAGATATCACAAGATAGTAATGTAGCTGTAGTAGTACCATGATAAAAAATCTCCTCCAAAGAATAATTTTTCATCTTTTCTAATCTATATAAAGATGAGAAATAAAGCTGTATAAATATTTTAGAGTTTAATATAATTTATACTTTTAAATGTTTAAATTAATACATAAATATATTAATTTAAACATATTAATTTAGTGTAATCCTCGTGATATAGGAAAAGGAAAAAAATACTTCTAAGAAAATTATTTTTTTACTATACACTATTGCTTTCCTTTACATTATTATAAATAAACCAGCAACATTTAAAATTTTGGTAGTGCCATCTGTTATCATATTTTACAATGGCATGCCATCCACACAAGCTGTCGAAACACCGCTTCCCTTGTATTTTCTAAAATATAAATACATATTGTGCAATTATTTTCATATTTTAACATACTTTGAATTACTTAAAATTAATATTTTATTATAACCACATTATATATTTTATTACAAATTTCTATACTATATGTGAAAAAAATGATAAGATAAATATTGTATATTCGAATATAAATTCGTGTATGCATATTCCAAATGGAAGCACTGTATTGTCAAAAAAGGGACAGCTTCCATGGTGAAAATATTGTAAATACTAATAATGAGTAAAATCATCATTAAGTCTGACCCTACTAGAGATACACACAATCCCCATTATCTCCCCACCCTCTCAACCTTTAACCACCAAAATTTAACAGCATCAATTCCCCTAATAAACAAACCTTCCTGCAAAATTTCAGAAATTTTCAACAAAAAGCACAGGAGTTATTAAGCTTCAAACAGAGTGAACAAAGTTGTGCCTCCCCCCCACACATACATACTAACATCCATACATACAGAAATTACCCCCCTCCGGTTTACCCCCATTTCCCAACATTTCAAGGTATCTGGAGTCCAAAAATGTAAAGATCAGGAGAGTCATTTTTTGACCAATCACCATACTTTCCCTCTGTTATACATGTATAACAGCCAGGAAAGTAAAAATTTTACAAACAGTTATTTTATTTTTAAAGCATTATTTTTAATTTTTAGAATATGTTTAAGTTTTTTTTTCACATTTAAAAATGATCATAATTTTGTGTGAATAACCCAATACTAGTGTATTGTTAATTATACCTAAAAAATTGTTAGAATAAAAATAAAATTGATGTAAGATGACTGGAGTCTTCAGAAAAGACAGACAAGCATGTTACTATGTATAAGCAGGAAGTATTTTTTAATATATCTACAGCACATATATTTATCAACACAATGTGTAATTCACAAAAACAGTAGAATACTAAATACATGCTAACAAAATCCTTTGCATAATCTACTTCTCTGTATACACCATACTTTTCAAAGCAGTTGTTGAAAACATACCACTTAATGATATACAGTTTAGAAAGTACAGTAGCATCATAAACTTTAAAATACTATTTTATTACATTTCATTGTAGTCATAATTATAAAATAAGTGAAATGAAAAAACTGAATACTGAGATGGTATGACTTTACACCTACACATAGATATATTTAGTTTGTAGTTTTTTTTTACTTTTCTATCACTATTTCCAGTGGTGATATTCGAAATATTTAACAAAGGGTTCGCTAACAGAAAATTTTTCCTTAACAATTTTTTTCGCTCAAATGGTACATTAGCAACATTAGCGCAAAAACTGACCTTAAGATGCGTTCGCAAAATTAAGTCAGTTAAAATTTAACATTGTTTATGCCAGAACTATATTTTTTTGATAAGTAATAAAAAAAAGTGTTCAAAATGGTTTATTTTGTACATATTTTAATATTTTTCATTCAAAATATTTTATAAACATAAAAATTGGCTTTTTCTCAAGAAAAAACTTTTCTAAATCATTTATTTTATCATTAGGTATTATTATAATAATAGACAGATGTCATCGTCTCTCGAAATACAATATCTTTCTTATTTCGCTGTTGATAGCCCGACACGTGTTCCGCAGCCATCTTGTATTTTCTCGCGCGCGTGGGATTGTGGGATCTCTCGTATGACTGGACCTAGTTTCAAGAACTCTCTTGAGTCGATCGCGATTAAATCTCGTTTCAGTCGAGATTGAAACGGTCGATGGAGGTTGCACCATGGCGAACGGGGTATAAGGCTCTAGTTTAGTAGTGTTACAGAGTATAATACGTATATTTTAATATATTTTTTAAAAGAAACAAAACCACTGAGAAATGTTACGTGTGTTTAACAACGGGTTCGGAAAACTTTGAGAATGTTAACAACGGGTTCGGCTGAACCTGTGCGAACCCGCTGAATATCACCACTGACTATTTCTCTCTTTACATTATTCTACAGTATGTTAGACCTAATGTAGATTAATTTCTCCTTAACCAGACCTATAAACCCATAACATGTGGGAGAAATGAAAGCACAAAGAAAAGGACAAAGATTAGTGTTATGTTTTCAGTTGTAGCTAGTAGGTTATTTCCTTTTAAAACAGAAACGAATGATGGGAGTCCAGTCATCCGAAAATAGATCCTTATTCTCAATGTTTACAGCCTACATTCTTACATCTCATTTCCAACAACACAAGTAAAAATGTGCTCCATCGCAGAACAATTTTTACAGTGTTCCCACACTCACTTTTTAATTGATGTTACAGTTACAGATTCCCTTTACAGTTAGTGTGATTGAGAAGTTGTAGAATATGGACATGCATTAGCTCAATTAATAAAGTGTGGCCAATATGACATGAAATTGAAGAATAATGAAATTAGTTAGGACCCCATCTAAAGATAGACACTGAGGACATTTTATAATTATTAGATCTTGATATAAAGTAAAGATATTGGGTTTGGTCAATGATTTTGGAATCTTCACAACTGAGATATTGGTTCAAAAAGTTCAAGGCATAGATCCATATTGCCAAAATCATCTCTTAAATCTTTCTCTTTTTCTTTCTCTCTCTTTTACAATCCATTAAGTTTATAGTTTAGTTTTAAGTTTAAGTTTAGTTTTAGTGTTAATATACATTTTAATTTATGAGCAACCATATGTTTTATAAGATGGTATTAATTTGCCAATTTTAATGTATTGCCAGTCACCATCCAAATAATCTGTACGTTGTGAAATTATTATTATGCAGTATTTATTGGGTTGATCATCACATACAAATTTAACCCCTACAGCTGACAACCTTTCCACCAATCCTGTGTATAATTTTTTTATTAATGTTTTTTTGTACATTGTTTCCTGAAAATTATGTCTGCTTCCTGTGCATTTGTGTTCATGTAACAACATTATAATTCTCACAAAGGAACTTCCAAACTTCATGTGTCAAAATGCCTACTGAATGAGACTTTTTATATTTCATTTTCTGTTTTATTTATCAAATAATATTAATAAAATATATAACATTAATAATATAATAATAAATTTTAAAGTAAGCTCTTACACTGGCCCTCTCCTTTATCCATGCTCAAAGCACATCTTTTTCAAATTTGTCCACACCCCTTGACTGCCCTCTATATCCAGTCTAACCAGCTTTCTCCTGAAGTAATAGTCCAATCCAAAAAAGTGGGTTAGACGTGGAGAAAGAATAATAGAAAAAGGAGGTATGTAATAAAGAACAGTTTTGGGATAATAGAAAAAAAAGGACAGCAAAACATGGAAAAGAAAAAAGAGATAAGAGGAAAAAAGGAATTATTTCAAACTGCATAAGTTTAGCATGTCAAACAGTCATACTAGTATCTATCTTATAATTAAATACTATGATAATTATGAAAGAGTTTCCATTAGCTGACAAAAACAAACACGCAGCAAAAAGACACATGTGAAATAGATGATGAAAAAATGAATTTATTACATGTGATAATAATATTCAGATACAAAGGTATTCTAACTCTAGGGGGTTTTGATTAACAGTCACCCAAATCCAGTCATTGATAGAACAATTACAAAAATTATCACAATTTGTAAAAAAAGGAACTGAAAATAATATTTATAAAAATTTTTCCTTAACACTAATCCTTAAAACTAATTTACACCTTAAAAAGGAAATAGAAGGTAGAGAGTGAGAAGTAGCAATGATGATAGACAGGATGGGAAAGAATACATGGGTAGCGCAAATGTCATTCAGTTACTGTGGGGGGCCACAGTTACTGTGGGGGGTAGAAGCTTCTAAAACACAAAATTCTTGCTTCTGTCTTCCTTTTCCTCAGTTTTTGAGGATTTTTCTATATTGATTTCAATAGCTGGTTGCATGTTTAGACTCATCAAGCTGAAACACTGACTAACACACTAACTTCAGCCCAGGAATTTCAAGGTTTCTGCTCAAAGCTGACCTCCCCCATCTACTCAGGTATGAAACACTGTACTCTCTCTCCTTTCATTATCCTCTCTCTTTAAACACTAGCTTAAAAGTGACCTTTCTTTGCCTTATATGCCCTCAGGTAACCTCATATACATTATGCTGGTGAATTCTAGGAAGTGGCCCTCACTTCCAAGAAATAAGAATTAAGAAGATTAGAAAGTTCCAGAAGATGGAAAGAACAAAGAATAGGGAAAATTGTCAGAAGAATGAAAGGACAAAAGCAGACAATATGACTCACAGCTATATTACTTATTTTTAATTATTATTAATAACTGATTTATTATTAAAAAGTTTTACTTACTATTTTAAATAGAAAACCTTGAGATTTTATTCTGCTTTTTAGTAATTCAATATCAAGATATCTGGAATAAATTTACTTTTAATAATTACATATTTTATTTCATTTAAAACAGGTTAAAAAATCTTTTAAATTTCATACTACTTATATCAAATAAATATCTAAAACAAAAATAAAACACTAGTATCACTGATTTTCATTAAAAATAGTAAACTTTAAGTTAAAAAATAAAATAACTACATACTGTCCATCCTTATCTAATGTAAACTGACAAAATGAAGTTAGACAATTAACAGCCTTCCTTCCAATCAAACCTTCTCTAAATAAATTCTGATGGGATCTCTTTTTAAGATAAAATAAAAATTAATATTTATATAATTATTATAACAATAAATCAAATAAAAAAATTTAATATTTTTATCTTACATATACTTTTAAATATCACTTTTGGTAGCTGTTATTACGATCTATGTATGCATGTCTCTTTAATCCGACATTAAGTTCGGTAGACTATCCTTACAGCTTTTATTGTATCCACATATGCATTTCAGACTTATATAAATGTTAAGTCCTTCTTCAGTGCAATACTATGGTTCTGTCTTCTAAAACCACGATGTATAATGGGTAACATTGGGAAGATTTTAAAATACAGCCATTAAAAACACTACAAATACATTTTCCAACATTAATACGTCAAAACTTTTAACATAAAATCTTATGTAAGTACAACTTTTAAAGAATATGTATGTTCTATAACAGGGGTGTCCAACCTGCGGTCCAAGGCAAGTTCCAATGCGGCCCAATAAACATGTAAACAAAACTGACAAATTTTTAAATTATTTATTTATTTCTACGGCATAAACCTCAAAAAAGAAGTTTCACAAAGCCGTAAACCTTTATACATGTTTTATTTTTTAATAGAAAGGAAGTATTTTCAAATATTTGTAATGTGTGAATGAGGAAGGAATACTAAATAAACCTGGAGTTGTGACTCAAAGGACTATAGCCAAAAATTCGGGGAAAGGAGAGAAAGGCCAAAAAAAAAGAAGTGAGAAAGGTTGGAAAATTAAGGATCAATATTTGCGTAACAGAAGGTCTATTTAACCTTTCTCACTTTTTTATATTTTGACCTTTCTCTTCATTCCCCGAATTTGGGTCTATAATCCTCTGAATCCCAACTCTAGCTTTATTTAATATTACTTTCAGCGTTGCAAGATTTGTCTACTTTTCGCCAAATTTAGGTACCCTTTTTTTAGTTTGGCGTAAAAAAATATCATTTGGCGCATTGGCTACATTTTGGGCTACATATTATTTATAAATATATTAGTTGAATAAAAATGCACTTTAAAATGGTGTTTCATTGTTGTTTTATTAATTAAAGACCCAAATAAAACAAATATTTGTGTTTTTCAAATAAATTTTTGTTTGACTTCTTTATAATAAATAAAATTATCTATTTCTAAGTAGAAATTAAAAGCGTCTGTAGAAGTAATTTTTTAAAATATCCTTTTTTGTGATAAAGTTTTAATTTAATACTTATTACTATAATCTAGACATGTAAATCCTTAAATATATTTGTATATTTAAAAATTGGGTCACAATATATTTGTGGCCCAGAACTCCATGACTTCTTCTAATGTGGCCCAGAGAAATAAAAAGGTTGGACACCCATGTTCTACAATATAACGTTTCAGTAAACAATTTTACAATATATTTCCAATTATTTTCTGTCACAACACTATGATAAATACTTTACAATCCTTAAGGATTGTAATGTATTTATCATAGTATTTATCATATTTAACGTATTAATGTTGGAAAATGTATTTGTGATGTTTTTAATGGCTGTATTTTGAAATCTTCCCAATATTACCCGTTATACACCATGATTTTAGATGACAGAACCATAGTATTGCACTGAAGAAGGACTTAACATTTATATAAGTCCGAAATGCATATATGGAAACAATAAAAGAAGTGTCTAACCTGAAAGCTGTAATGATAGTCTACCAGACTTAATGTCAGATTAAAGAGACATACATACATAGATCTTAAGATCTTACATATAATAAATATTTACATAAATTATAACAGTAAATATTGTACATGATATTAAATCCAAACAATAGGGAAGTGTTTTGTCTCTGATTGGTATTAGTATATTTTTGTCAAAACTTTGTGGTAAACTTGTAATTTTTAAGTAAAAATGTTAATTTTATATTATTTAGTTTAAAATTTTTATCACCAGTAATCATTGCTGGCACAGAAATAAATACAGGACCTATGTCTAGAACACCATCAAAAATAGCCAAGCCAAGACAAGCCAGGTACAAAAAGTGCTCTCTAAGTGATATGAACAAAATAAACATCTGATAACATCTTTTCTGATAAATGAAGTCAATCTTCAACAAGTGACCATGGAGAATGTAGAAATTTAATTGTAAATACTCAATTTGATCGTTTATTAATAAAAAAAAATAGGGGGTTGTGTACGTTCCTCCTCGTGGTGCCCCTGGAGACTCCCTGCGCTAGCGGGATGAGCTGAGCATGGGCAGCCTCCCAGATGACAGGCCCTATGACAGGCCAGCCGGAAGGTGTATTAAATAACTCATCATTAACCCACATGGATCTAAATTTGAATCAATGGGATACAGATAATACTAGGGTGTACACTGTAGTCAATGCGGCAGGGTATGGCCTGGTCCAGCCAAAAAATTTGCAAGGGCTCTGGATGTAGGGACGGCGTCCGGATGCAAGCAAGCTAGTCCAGAAAACCCAAAAACAACAACACAAAATATGAGGAGGGAAAGATATTGAACAGATGAGAGTGGCGATGCTCAATGTTGGTATGATGTATGCAAGGTGCGAGTTTGTTGCAGTGGCCCTGCAGAAGCAATGCTTAGACATCTGTGTACTACAGGAAACCAGATGGAGTGGGGAAAAGGCATGCGACATGGAGCAAGAGCAGAAGGAACATGGCTACAAGCTGATCTACTTTGGCAGCCCTCACACCCACAGTGGCGTAGGCATTGCCATCTCAGAAGAAATTCATAATGCAGTTCAATCGATCCATCGATACAATGACTGTCTCATGAAGATTGTCATCATGACACCACACTGGACTATCCATGCTTTTACTGCTTATGCGCCGCAAACTGGGCGACCGGAGTCCAAGAAGGATGCATTCTGGCAGCTGCTTGATGACCAGATGCACAACGTGCCAGCTACAGATTACATCGTTGTTGGTGGTGACTTCAATGGCCATGTTGGGGATACTGCTGATGGAAGCCGATATCATGGTGGCTGGGGCTTTGGTTGTCGCAGTGATGATGATGAACACGTGCTTGACCTTGCTGATTCCCATGATCTTGTCCTCACCAACACCTGGTTCAAGAAATGACTGTCACAACGGCTCACTTTCTACAGTGAAGACACAATATCACAGATCGACTATGTCTTAGTCCAACAATGCAACCTACACTCTGTCATTGACGCAAAGGTCGTGCCATATGAGACGGTGACTGCACAACACTGACCCGTCATCACAACGCTTTGCATCAACCCACCAAAACTGCCTGAAGAAGATCGAACCGGCCCACCGCGCATCAAGTGATGGAAACTGGATGGCAGAGAGGCAGAGACCATTGCACGTATTCATCTCCCAACTAAGACAATTTTGAGGAGACATGGCGGAAGGCAAGACGGTCTATCCAAGAGGCTGCCCATTTAACATTTGGCCATACTATCCCAGGCCAGTGCTTTGTAAAGCATGAAAATTGGCTCTGGACAGATGATGTCAAATCAAAAGTCCGTGGAAAGAAAAAGCTCTACCATGCCTTCCTCAACAACAAGACTCCACAGAACTGGCAGATATACCAAGATGCCAGCCATGATGCTAAGAAAGCTGTTGCTGCAGCCCGAGCGGCACACTACAAGACAATCTATGAGCAGCTTGATGGGCAAGACGGTGAGCGTCTCCTCTGCTACCTTGCCAAAAGCCATCACCAGCAAACGCAAGATATTGAGAAATTTCACTGCATCAACGACAAATGTGGCAAGCTGATTATCAACAGACAAGCCATGCTGGAGCAATGGAGGGGTTACTTCCAGAAGATTTCCACCGAGGAGTTCCCACATCCACCTATCACAGAACTGCCCACCATGGCTGAACCTGTGCATACAATTACCAAAGAAGAGATTGAAAGTGCACTAATAAAGATGAAGCCTGGCAGGGCATGCAGACCAGACAACATTGCTGTAGATCTTTGGAGAACAAAAGGTTGGAGGCCATCGACTTGGATTTCCACTTTCTTCCACCTGATCATCAAGGAGAAGAGGATGCCCACTGACTGGCAACAGTGCATTACAGTGCCTGTCTGGAAACAGAAAGGCAGTCTGGCTGAATACTCAAACTACCACCCGATCCAACTTCTTTCACACACTATGAAGTTGTTTGAACATGTCTTAGACCGTCAAATCTGCAACCTCATCGAGCTCACTGTAAACCAGGCTGGCTTCGTCAAGGGATGCAGCATGATAGATGCTGTCCTCGCTGCTCAACTCTTTGTTGAGAGGCATTATGAGAAGAGAATCCCGCTGCTCATTGCCTTTCTTGATCTTGAGAAGGCATTTGACCATGTGCCACATGAGCTTATCTGGGCCACTCTTCGCCAGCATCACATTCCTGAGGAACTTATCAGTTGGGTACAATTGCTCTATTGCAATCCAACGAGCTGTGTCCATGGCATTGCTGGGACCTCAAAACCATTCCATGTCTTTGTCAGTGTTCACCAGGGCTCCACTCTCTCCCCGCTTCTCTTTATCGTTGTCATGGATGCCATCACACGCGACATCCAGCGAAATGTACTGTACATGTTACTGTATGCTGACAATGTTCTCCTCGCCTCCACTGACAAGATCGACCTGCAGCAGCTCGTCCAGATGTTGTAGTCACCTCGCACAACATGGCCTCCAACTGAACCTGAAGAAGACGGAGTACTTAACGACAGACCCGACTGAGGAAGGCACATTCATTGTCGATGGCGTCAGCCTTCCCTGAGCTGAGTAGTTTAAATATCTGGGTCTGTGATCTCTGCTGACGGAGACTTGTACCATGAGGCAGTTGCACGTGTCAATGCCGCCTGGCTGAGGTGGTGCTCAATAACAAGTGTGCTGTGCAACCGACGCATCAAGGACCAACTTAAGTCAAAGATTTATCAAACCATCGTCCATTCTGTTGCACTGTATGGGGCCAGGTGCAGGCCAACTACGAAGGTTGTCGACCACAAACTTGCTACTATGGAGACTAAGATGTTGCATTGGATGAGTGGCCTTACCAGACT